TATACTTTTATTATATAGGGTTTCAATTTTATGGCTTTTATTTTATCTATAAGGCATACCACTTAAATATTAAGTATTATACTTGTTTATTATGGTTTTTGGTGTTGAATCAGTATTGGGTGTTGGATATTATCAAATAATTTTTTTAAGCATCAATCTGTTGATCATGTGTCCTTTTTTTCATGACCTCATATGATATTAATAGATTCCTAAGGGTGAACTTTCTGAAATTCCTGGAAAAAGCCTTTGTATAGTCCAAACCAGTGTGGCTCTGTGGATAGAGCGTCCGCCTGCGGACTGAAGGGTCCTGGGTTCGATTCCAGTCAAGGGCATGTACCTTGGTTGCAGGCACATCCCCAGAGGGGGTGTGTGCAGGAGGCAGCTGATCCATGTTTCTCATCAATGTTTCTAGCTCTCTATTACTCTCCGTCTCTGTAAAAAAATCAATAAAATATATTTAAAAAAAGCCTTTGTATAAATTGTGTATTTCATGTAATATTTATTGAATGCTTTAGAAGCACTGTAATTACTGAACCTGTCATATTTAAGAATGTGTTTCTTTATAAATGTATAGAGTACTGGCCAAGTTGAATTCTTGAGTCACATCAGCCAGTATTTAAAAATTTTGTAGATAATTGATTTTTTATAGGGAGCAAATCTTCAGAATAAATAAATAATTATAAGTATTTATTTAATTGGCTTTTAGAGAGAGAAACATCAATGTAAGAGAAACATTAATCAGCTGCTTCCTACAACCTGCCCTGACCAGGAATCAAACTGGCAACTCTTTGGTCAAGGGACAACACCCAACCAACTAAGCCCCAATAGCCAGGGCCAGGAATACTTTTAAATTAAATATTCAAATTCCATAGAGATAAAATGAATCTGACTGTTAAGTTTTCTGCAATACATAATGATTTAAACATTTTCATTTAGTATTTTCTAAAATAGTATTTTGTTCTTATTTTTGAAATGTTATATATACAGAAGAATATGTAAAATATATATTAACAAAACTGACATACTCTGCTAATATAAATACTATAAATATTAACTAACTTTTGTTCTTACATCAACACTCTGAGAAATAGGGCCCATTTAACAGGTGAGAAAAAGAATACAGACACATTAAGTAACCTGCCCAAGGTCGCACATCTAACTGTGATAGAGTTCAAATTTGAGCCAGAGTTGTTGTCTTAGCTATTATGCCATACTGCATCTTTTTATAGGTAATAATGATAAAGATTTAATGAATAATAAAGCAAACACTTAGGCACTAAAACCTAGAGTCAGAAACAGGAAATTATTGGTATCCTCACCATGATTTGTGTACTCCTCATTCACACACTCTTAACCTCTCCCTGGGACATATCACTATTCTCACTTTTGTGATAATTCTCTTCCCTTTTCTTTAAGTATTGCCATCCATAAATGAACCTATAAAAAGCATATTTAGTTTTAATCTGTTTTTAAACTTTAACTAGACTCTTGCTAGATATTTTTCTGTGACTTTATTTATTCATATTGATATATATATAGCTATAGTTCATTAATTTTAACTAGTCTTAATTTAGGCTGCTATAACAGAGTACTATACAGGTAGCTTAAAAGTCAAATAACTATTTCTCACTTTTCCAGAGACTATTAAGTCTGAGATCAGAATGCCAGTGTGGTTGGGTTGTTGGTGAGGGCCCTCATCCTGGTTCAGAGACAACTCCTTCCTGCTGTGTGAGAGAATGGAGAGACAGGATGCAAGCTCTTTCATCTCTTCTTATGAGGGCACTACTCCCATCACTCTTCTGCCCTCATGATCTATGATTTCCCCAAAATTCCACCTAATATAATACCATTGAGAATTTAGCTTCAATATAGGATTTTTGGGGAGACACAAAAATTCACTGTTGTCAATTATTCCATTGTATATATATTTGACAATTTAGTTATTCTATTTTTTTTATTTTTTTATTTTTTATTTTTTTTTTTATTATTTTTATAAAGGCGCCCGAGTGCGAGGCGGGGCCGGGCTGCAGGGAGGGCGGCGGGATGAAGAGCGGCTGCGGACGGTGCCGGAACTTCTTCCACTTGGGCGCGGGTTCGGGTGCGGGTGCGGGTGCGGGTGCGGGCGCAGGAGCTGGTGCGGATGCGGGCGCCGGCCGGCGCGGGCTGCTCAGCCTTGGCGGCCCCGGGCGGGGGCTTCCTGGGCACATCCTGAAACGGAGAAGGGGCCGGTTCCAGCGCTCCCCTCAGGCCGCTTCCACAGCCCGAGGGGAGGGCAGCTGCCCTGCGGCCGGGGATGCCCTGCGGCCGGGGATCCCCTGCCGCCGTCCGGCCTGGGGGTCCTCCGCCTGAACCCGACAGCCACGGCCATGGCCGGCCGGGCCAGCTCCGGGGCTCCGGGAGGAGGGAGAAGGAACGTCTGGGAGGGCGGGGGCCGGCAGGAGCTGAGGTTGGGCAAGAAGCTAGTTATTCTATTATTGATACTTGTGTTGCTTCCATTTTAAAAATTTATTTATTTATTTATTTTTTGCTGTTGTGCACTGCTACTTTTAAAATTATGAATGGTATACCTTTGTAAGTTAAATTTACCTCGGTATGTATAGTGGAATTGCTAAACGATTCATTCAGGTGTCCACTTCTTATGTGCCTATTCATGAGTTGCCAGTTTTTCTAGTCGGTTTAGTGTTCCATACATATTGTTTTCCAAGTCTAGGTTCTAGTTCTTTGTGGGTTATTGTTATATATCTTTCCCCAGTATGCAACTTTAAAAAAATTTTTCTTTATGATGTCTTTGGGATGGCTGGAAGCATGTAATTATTCTTCCAATATTTGTTCTCCGTTTTGATTTTTATATGTTTTTCTTCTCATTGTTTACATTATTTTTAAAAAATTATATTTTTTATTGATTTTTTTATAGAGAGGAAGAGAGAAGGATAGAGAGTTAGAAACATTAATGAGAGAGAAACATCAATCAGCTGCCTCTTATACACCTCTCACTGGGGATGTGCCCGCAACCAAGGTACATGCCCTTGACCGGAATAGAACCCAGGCAGGACCTTTCAGTCCACAGGCCGACACTTTATCCATTGAGCCAAACCAGTTTTGGCTGTTTACATTATTTTAAAAATTTATTTTCGTAACTCTCTACAGTTTCCAAACTTGGTATCTTCTGTGTATCGTTTATCTTTGAATGGAGGTAGTTCTATCTGGACTTTGTCTAACAGGATGAAACCCCATTTTGTCCTTACGTTGTGCCTGGGTGGCACTTGAAATGTTCTCAAAGAATTGTAGTTGGGCCGAAACCGGTTTGGCTCAGTGGTAGAACGTCGGTCTGCGGACTGAAGGGTCCCAGGTTCGATTCCGGTCAGGGGCATGTACGTTGGTTGCGGGCACATTCCCGGTGGGGGGTGTGCAAGAGGCAGCTGGTCGATGTTTCTCTCTCATCGACGTTTCTAGCTCTCTCTCTTCCTTCCTCTCTTTAAAAAATCAATAAACTATATATTAAAAAAGAAAAGAAAAGAAAAAGAATTGTAGTTGGGTAGCTAGATATGATAGTGAGGTGGGGCAAGTGGTCATTTCTAATTCATGTGTTGCATGTTCATACTTTATTGGATAGGTCCTCACTGTGGTTACTTGGTGGTGTGTTTTGGAGGTGGATTCCACTAGGATTTCCACTTTTTATCTTTTATGTAAGCAGGTCAAGTTGTAAGGAGGAAGTCCAGTAAATGCATAACCCTTGCTTCACAGTAAAGCCTCCTGCTCACATGCCAAATTTTGTCTGTTGCTTCAGTGTTTATCTCTGCTCTGTAGACTCTGATCAAGCTGACAGATTCTCAGATTATAGTTTCCTGTTCCCTGCCTCTCATTGCCCCTAGGCCATTTTGTCTGGAATAAGACATGGGATCAGAAAATAAAGCCTGAGTGGTCCTTCTTTCAGCTCCTTCTGAAGCAGTTCAACAGATTCTTCCTTGCCTGCCTCCCTGAGTCTCCACCCCCATCCCATCATTATATATATATATATATATATATATATATATATATATATATATATATTTAACTTTTTACAGAGAAGAAGGGAGAGGGATAGAGAGTTAGAAACATCGATGAGAGAGAGACATCGATCAGCTGCCTCCTGCACACCCCCTACTGGGGATGTACCCGCAACCAAGGTACATGCCCTTGACTGGAATTGAACCCGTGACCTTCAATCTGCAGGCCGACGCTCTTTTCACTGAGCCAAACCGGTTTTGGACCCCATCTCATCTATAAGGAATGGGTATTTAGGAAAGTGTAGGGCCCTTTAGGACTTTGTTAACCTTTGTGAGAAAATTACAACCTGCTTGAAATTTGTGTGGGAGGGGAAGCTTTTATATTGTGTTATTCCCCCTTAAAGAGTTTGAGTTTTAAATATGTTGCAGACAAGTATGTTTTTAAAGGTGAGGTTATATACATTATCTTTATCAGATTATTTTTATCCTCACTTTATAGCTGTGAAAACTCAGATTGGAGAAACAAGTAACTAGTTAAGATGGTAAGTGTTGAACCTGGTTGTCTGATTTCAGGGTTGACAGTCTTCATTGTGTCACTCTATGATATTTTTGAAGACTTAGTATTAGAATTATAGGTAGGAAGAAATGGCTGGTAAGAACAGTAGTACAAAATGGCAGGGCTTTCTGATCTTTGTCTTGCAATCCTAGGTCTTCTGTATATTTTCTGTTAGTTCCATCATTATTTAGCTTTGTCTAGTGGTCAGTTACTTCAATATCTATCCCTTCTGCATAAGCTCACTCTTTTCTCTTCTTACTCTGTTTCTAATTCCCTTATTTGTGGACTGGTTTGCTGTTTTTTTCTTTCTTTTCAATTCTTTTCCTAATTGTAGGGACATCTTTAAAAGCTTTCCAAATGTGCATGTATTCTCAATTTTATTCTCATTCCCACTTTATACAGTTTTCAGTCTCCCAACACAGAAACCATTGTGCATTTGAATTTTTTATTTTTTACAGACTGGGAGGCAAGACTTGAAACCAAAGAGTCAACTCCAGAGCCCATTGATACTGAAGATTTATCCTATTGGGTAATAATGGAAAAGGAAAGTCTCTGGCATTCTTCTTTAAGGGAAACCTGGGAATCTGATAATTGGTTAGAGGGCCAACAGAAAAACCAGGATATACATCTGGGTCAAGTGGCAGTTACCCATAAGGAAACCCTCATTGAGAGGAGAGTATGTAGAGGTAATGAATTTGAAAGATGTTCCAATCAGGGTTCAGTCATTGATATACAACAAAGTACTCCTATGGGAAAAAGGCCCTATTATCAGAATTCACATGGGAAAGATAAACAAAGTTCTGAATTAATTAAGATTCAAAGAATGTTTGTAGGGAAGAAAATCTATGAATGTAATGAATGCAGGAAAGCCTTCAGCCAGAGCTCATCCCTTCTTAAACACCAGAGGATTCATACTGGGGAGAAGCCCTATAAGTGCAATGTATGTGGGAAGCACTTCACTGAACGCTCCTCTCTTACTGTACATCAAAGAATTCATACTGGAGAGAAACCTTACAAATGTAATGAATGTGGCAAAACCTTCAGTCAAAGCATGAACCTTACTGTTCATCAAAGAACTCATACTGGAGAAAAACCCTATCAATGTAAAGAGTGTGGAAAAGCTTTCCGAAAGAATTCATCCCTTATTCAACATGAAAGGATTCATACTGGTGAGAAACCCTACAAATGTAATGAATGTGGGAAAGCATTTACTCAAAGTATGAATCTCACAGTGCATCAAAGAACTCATACAGGAGAAAAGCCTTATGAATGTAATGAATGTGGGAAGTCTTTCAGTCAAAGTATGCACCTTATTGTACACCAGAGAAGTCATACTGGAGAGAAACCCTATGAGTGTAGTGAATGTGGAAAAGCCTTCAGTAAGAGCTCAACTCTTACCCTGCATCAACGAAATCACACTGGAGAAAAACCCTACAAATGTAACAAATGTGGGAAATCCTTTAGCCAAAGTACATACCTTATAGAACATCAGAGACTTCATTCTGGAGTAAAACCTTTTGAATGTAATCAGTGTGGAAAAGCTTTCAGTAAGAATTCATCTCTTACTCAACATAGGAGGATTCACACTGGAGAGAAGCCTTACGAGTGTATCGTATGTGGGAAGCATTTTACTGGACGATCATCCCTTACTGTACATCGGGTTATTCACACTGGAGAGAAACCTTATGAATGCAATGAATGTGGAAAGGCCTTCAGCCAAAGTGCATATCTTATTGAGCATCAAAGAATTCATACTGGTGAGAAACCCTATGAATGTGATCAGTGTGGTAAAGCCTTCATTAAGAATTCATCCCTTGTAGTGCATCAGAGAACTCATACAGGAGAGAAACCCTATCGGTGTAGTGAATGTGGGAAAGCCTTCAGTCGGAGTACAAACCTTACTCGGCATCAGAGAACTCATACATGAGGAAAGTTTTCCCTGGGCCCATCATGATGAACTCTTCAGTGATAATCAGATCTGTCGTGTCATGTAGGAACCAATAAATGTAATGATTTTAGGAATCTTTTAGGTGAGGTACATTATATCATATCAGATGATACAGACCATTGCAGAGGAACCATACAAAAGTGGGAAATCTTGATTGAATTAGAAAGAAAAACTTTGTATCTGAAGCCTTAAGTTGCTGATATTCTAAACAACGAGGATTCATGCTGAAGATAAGTTCTGTTGTATCATACTGCAGATTCTTCTTTGGATGTCAGCGATTTCACATTGGAGAGAATATGTGAGAGTGCTTAACTGGATACCCCAAAGACCTGGTATGTACTCTGATCTGTCACTTACTTGGACAAGTCACCTACTTTCACCAGGTCACAGTGCCCATATTTGGTAAATGATGGATTTTGGATTTAGAAAATCTGCAGGATCTCTTTAAGTTCTATAAAGCAACAAACCTATAGATATAATGAATATTGTGACATCCTTAATCTTTTACCATGTTATGTATGTTATTAGATACTACTATTTTACAGTCTGGTTTCCCTGGATGTTGTAAGTTAAAATTCTCTATCTCTACCAAATCTTGTTATTTTCCCATGCCTACCCCCTTCTCCTTGCATTATTTTCTCCCCTAAACATCGGCTGGTTGCAAACAGGTGATGGAATAATTGTACAAATCTTAATGCAATAGTATACTGTGTCGAATCCTCAATTAACAGTCATTAAATTGTTAAATACGCTACTTAGAAAGTAATATAACTTATAGTCTTTTCCTAGGACTCAAATACATATCGTTGTATCATATTGACAATTGAGTGGAAAGGAAGATAGGCTGAACACTAATAGAAATAAAAATTTGACATTAATAAAACCTTTGTAATTCAAATGTATGCAAAACAGACATGGAGACTTTATAGACCTATAGTAAAGACAATTTTATTTATTTCACACACATTTAATAAGTGATATAAACATGTGTTAGATGTGATTAGAGAATAAAAATATGATATAGTCTTGTTTTCCAAAGTTTAAACTGAGAAAGTGACAGTGAGATGGGAAAAGAAGAATTCAAGCAAAAATGACACAGGATCTAGATAATGTGGTAACATTAAATGTGAGTGCTTGAATTTTTTATTTGGATGTATAGGAATGCCATAACTAAAAATATAAAGTTGACCAATTTTGTGGGGCAATGATGAGTACAGTCTGGGGACATTTTGGTGAGTATGTGGATATCCAAGTGACAATTCATAATAGACTATACACTAAGTAGTAGGGCATTGATTAGAGGGTTCTCTAGGAGTATAATAGTTCTCCAAACCCTAATTCATGGTATTGCTTTTCACAGTTTGTTACCCACAGTCAACCTTGAATCCAAAAATATTAAATGGAAAATTCCAAAAGAACCCCCACAATTCATGTTTTAAATTGCACACCCTTCTGGGTTGTTTGCTGAATTCCCATGCCACCTCACTTCATTGTGATCTCATTACATAGCCACTGTATCATGTCACATCATCACAAGAAGGGTGAGTACAGTACAAGGAGATATTTTGAGAGACCACATTCACATAATTTATTATAGTATCTTATTAAAATTGTTCTCATTAGTTACTGTTAATCTTCTACTGTGCCTAATTTGTAAATTAAACTTTAACTTAAGTATGTTTTTATGGGAAAAAACATGGTGTGTGTGTCTGTGTATAGGGTTCAGTACAACTTATTGTTTTAGGCATCCTGTATAGGTCTTGGAACATACCTTGTATACAACAGTTAAGAGAAATACAAAGAACAGAAAAATCAGAACACTGTGGAACAGAAGTAAAAGAATTTAGTGTAGGGATAGGAATAGTTAATATTTCAAATGCTACAAAGGGTTAAAGTAAGTTAAAAATATAAATGTTGCCCTTAGTTTGGTTGTTGATAAACTATGCAAAATTTAGTAGGTTAAAGAGTGAGTTTAAAGGTTGGAAAAGACTTAGTAGCTTGAGTGGGAAAGAAGAGTTTAGAAAGATAACTAGAGGGAGATTGGGGTTGAAAGAATCCCTATCAGAAGAGCTTTGGCTACATCAATAAAAAGCCCAGTTAACAATGGCTTATGAGCAAGTAGGGATTTATTTCCTCACATAATAAATCTGGAGGACAATGGGATTGTTCAGAGATAAAATAATTCAATGCCTTGAGTTTTCCATCATGGGCACATGGTTGCCCCAGCTTCAGGTAAAATATCTGCATTCAATGTAAAAAGAAATGGAGTGGGTAGTATTAGCAACATCACTGCCTTCTTTCAGAAAATGTTTCCCCAGATGTCCCTCAGTAGACTACTGCTTACATCTTCTTTGACCACAGCTGTGTGACAAGGAGACTAGTAGCAAAGATGACTGAGAAAAGAAGCATTTGCTCTTGGAGCCTCTAGAATGGGTAGGCAAAGAAAAGGTGGTTTGATAAGGTGTTGATTTAACCAACAATCTGCTGAGAATGTGTGTGCATGACTTAAGGTAGAAGAATTAAGCATGTTTATCACCTAAAAGAAGTGTGGAGTCCAGCTGGTGTTTCTCAGTGGTTGAGCATCGACCCATGAACAAGAAGGTCAGGGTTTATTTCCCAATTGGGGCACATGCCTGGGTTGCAGGCTCAATCTCTAGTAGTGGTTATGCAGGTGGCAGCCGATCAATGATTCTCTGTTCATCATTGATGTTTCTCTCCCTCTCTGAAATCAATTTCATATTTTAAAAAAATAAAAGAGATGTGGAGACTCTAAAGGTGCAGAAAGGAGGGGATGTGCAGCGCAAAGTGGGAAAATAAGATTTGGAGCACAGGTAAAGGATATAGGAATCTTTTACACTGGGAAGGACACTTTCCATTGGAAGAGGTGGTAATCAGTGATGGGTGCAGATGTTGTGGGTGACAATGCAAGAGGTTCTCTGAGGGTTCTCAGTGTTTGGACTCTGGGCAGTTTTAATTCATGGAATTCGAACATCAAAGATGAAGGAGGAATGGAACACCGAATTATATTGTATCCTCAGAAACTGAAATTTTAAATTTCTCTCCATTTCACCCAGTTTCCTCCTTTCCTTTCATCTCTTTTTCTTACACCTCATTTCATCTGAAGAATACAAGGAGAACCCTAACCAGTTTGGCTCAGTGGATAGAGCAGCCTGTGGACTGAAGGGTCCCAGGTTTGATTCCAGTCAAGGGCATGTACCTTGGCTGTGAGAACACTCAGTGGGGTGTGTGCAGGAGGCAGCTGAATTGATGTTTCTCTCTCATTGATGTTTCTAACTCTGTATTCCTCTCCCTTCCTCTCAGGAAAAAAAATATTAACAATATGTTTTAAAAAAGTATACAAGTAGGTGGGAGGAAAGGCAATAAATAAATGTGTAGAAAGTAGAAGAAAGTGATAAAGACTCAAAAGGAAGGCATAGGATAAGAGGAAGAGGAAGAATGAAGTTATTGAAGCCTAAGATGGATATTAACGCATGGAGGGAGGGCCAGGACACATGATCCAGATAAATGGAGGTTTCACTACTTTTTCAGGAGTCTTGGAAGTCTTAGACTCTGTATGTCAGTTTTCAGCCATCTTGGGCAACAAGTAATGAGGACTTTGTACCTTTTCTCTATCAACAGGAGCAGGACTCCTGGTTCCATGCATTAGACATGAGACTTTGTGCAAGGCACTTAACCTTGGTGCCTCCCTTTTTTCATTTGTTAATAGTGAAAACCTCACAGCTTTAGATTGCATTAGGTAACTAATGTAAAGTGCTTATTAAAGTGTACAACGTGTAGTTAGTACCCAACAAATGTTATCACCCTCATGTAATATTCAAATATCCAATAACAATAATATCAAAACTCCATAGCATGGCGTCCACAAACCTTAATTATCTTTGTAATAGAGGCCCAGTGCCAGAATTCATGCACCAGTGGGGTCCCTTGGCCTGGTCTGTGGGATTGGGCTGAAACCAGCTTGCCAACATCCCCCTGAGGGGTCCTGGATTGTGAGAGGGTGCAGGCCAGGCTGAGGGGCCCTACTGGTGCACATTCGGGAGCATGTGGGAGTTAGCCAACCAGAGAGGGACTGCCCGGGAGGGCTCCACAGTGTGTCTGGCACATCTTGCTCAGATCCCATCAGCAAGCTAACCTACTGGTTGGAACATCTGCCCTCTGGTGGTCAGTGCACGTCATAGCCATTGAGCAACCTTAGCATATCATTAGCATATTATGTTTTGATTGGTTGAATGGCTGACCAGATTATCAGACACTTAGCACATTGGGCTTTTATTATATAGAATGACTATGCTCTCAATACATACCTTGTAAAAATATATATATAAAACTGGGAGTCAGTCCCACCTCCAGCCTGCAGTAATAGCCTACTAACTGGTTTTCCTGTATTCCTTCCCACCACTGCATGTTCTCCACACAACTGACCAGTGATTCTGTCCAAGCATGGTCAGCCATGTCACTATTTTGCTCAAACACCTGTAATGGTTTCCCATCACATACAGATTAAGTCCTGCAATGGGCTTCAAGGGTTCTAGTGACCCTGTGAATTCATCATCTCCCCCTCTCCCTTGTTCACCAGGCTCTCTCCAGTCATATTGGATTTCTAAGCCTCAAACTTACCAGGTACCCTTCTCTGGGCAGCACTCCTGTTTCCTCCTGCTGAGAGGTTTCCCCCCAGATAGTCACATGATTTCCTCCCTCACTGTATTCCAGTGTCTGCTCGATATTTTCTCAGGGCTAACTTCCCAAAACGCTACTTATAATAAAATAATCCTGAACCTCTGACACACTCTAAAACTTAATCCAGCTTCACTGTCATCAGTATCTGAGGTTTTGTTTTATTGACTTCCTCCCAGAGGAGAACTACACCTGAATAAGTGCAGGGTTTTCAGCCCTAGAACAAGGCCTCACACATAAGTGCTCCTAAGCAGGTACCTACAGAAGCCTTCAATAAAACCCCA